GCGGAGCGCTGTTTGGTCCGGAAGCCGCGCGAGCTCCGACCCAGCCCTCCGCACAGAGCCTCGGTCCGCCGGCTTCTCCGACTAAGCGCCAACTTGTGTCCTTGCAGCAGCTGGTAAGGCAGCGCTCGAGCCACCACCCCAGGCGGGCACGGCCGTCCCGGGCAGGAGCGGGGCTAAGCCTTGCCTACTGCAGCGTGCCAAGCCTCGCCCGCCCGCCCGACCCTCCTCACCTGTCCTCCGAGACGCTGATGAGCCCCTCTTCCTTGGGCACGATGGCCGCCATGGTCACCGCGTCTTGCGAGCCCTCCACTTGGCCGAGCAACAGAGGCCGCCGAGTGAGCGGCACGGACGGCGAGGGCTGAGCAGCCATGAAGCGCGCTCGAACGATGCCAGCTTTCTTCTCCTTCGCCGCCGCCGCCGCCAGAAGCCCCGAGCGCCCGGCCTGCCCTACCCTTTCTGGCCGCGCTTGCGCATCCGGAGGAGAGCGGCAACCACAAAGGGCTACGGTCGCCACGGCTTTCTCATGCGACTTCCGGATCCCGAGTGTAGCCTCTTGACTCATCCGTGCGCCGAACCGAAAAGGGGGACCGGGGAGTGGGATTACACCCACCAGGAAGGACAAGGCTTAGCTATAAACTGACTTTCATTGCACTTATTAGAAATCGTCACCGTCGCCACGCCGCTCCCCCACTGCAAGTACAAAGACCTTTGAAAGAGGAAGACCCCTCTTCTTGCAGACTTTCTCTTGCCTGCTCGGCAAGTAGAGAGATATCGAGGGTGAGGGAGTTTTCACCGAAATAATATCTACCTGTTTTGTAAAGCGTAGGAAACTAAAGAACGACAAGCTCTCTTTTGGTGCAGTGGCCTAAAAAGATAGTGCCCTCTCCTCCTCCTCCCCCAAACCACAGCAAACATAGTTAAAACTCCAAAGTCCATCTTTTGAGGTGTTTATGATTAGGCCAAGTGAAAGCTTATAAAAGCGCTTTCGGGGGTCCAGGACCTCTGCATGAAGAGATGGCTAAAATTCGGGAGGGGGCCGCGAGCGCGCGTGTGGAGGCGACCTATGATTCCCACGTTCCCTATTTGCCTCGGGTTTGACCATTCCCCCCAGTGGAAAGACAGCGAGATTGATTTTCTGTCGGGTACAAAGGCTCGGGAAAGCCCGGGAGATTTTCCCCTCCGCCGAACTGACTTAACAACTTGGAAAGGCACGCCTAGGCGCGCCGAGGTGAAGGTCCGAGGCTTAGGCTCGGAGTGGAAACCCTTTCGAGATTGCTGGCAATTGCCTCCCTTTGTATTTTTGGCCTCCCTCTTAACGAGCTCTTTTTTTTCTAACCCTTTGACAAACCGCATTAAAAAGGGTCGCCAGAGCAGCAGTTCTGTCGAAGCAGCAGAGGCAGTTGCGGTGAACATCAGTACTTTTAAAGCGCCGTCATTTCACTGACGGGAAAGCTGCTAAACTGGGTCTTACGGCCTTTTAACACTGCTCCTTGTATTCTTCCCGCCTGTGGAGAAGTCCAATCAGAACCGGTAGTAGGAGCACCTGCTTCAGAGAGTGGCTCTTCGTCCAGGTGTGTTTTGCTGCTTCGTAAACAGCCCTACCGGCGATACAAAGGGAAGGTCAGCGAACCCTTCCGGCTTACTGCTTGGCTGGATTCCTTCAGCAGTGAGCAAAACCACCGAGAGGGCACACGGTTACTTTAAAAAGCTGCTGTAATTTAGCCAGCAGGCACGCCAACTTCTGAGTTACGAAGAAATCGCTGAGAGAACGCTGCGGTCAGCCCAGTTCTAAGTGAGTATTTTATTCGGAAGCAGTTCCGCTGAGTACAGTGGGTTTATTCCCAAATAAATGGGAACAAGATGGCAGCGTTAGAATTATTGCACATTCACATTGGCCCAATCAGGGTAACTAAAAAATAAGCCCATAATGCACTACCTTCCAAAATCAGTTCAAATCATGCAGCTTTATCTATGAATACCCAGCAGTAACAATCCAAGTGATATAAACATTTGTAGGTAACCTTTAGTTAGGAATATGCAACTTTTTTTTTCAGATAAACATCAGCATTGCCCCTTGAACAAATGTTGGCAGCCACACTCCAAGAAATGGGTAGATCCAGGCCAAACTAAAATTTGACTGAATATATATATTTAATTAAAACTAATCAAATACAATTATTACTTCCAATGATTTCTCCCCCTGGCACATTAAAAATTACACCGTGGTAAAAACATTGGGAGGAATTCTGTGTGTTATACGCAAGGTTTCAGGATGCAGGCTATGAACCTCAGCTTTAGAGAGAGATAGGCTTCCTCAACTCTATACGTTCTAGATCTATTGGATTGTCCCTGCACTTTGGTTGAGATACTACCTTGAGATAATATAAGGTGTTTTTTTTCAGTGGTCCTTCCCCAACATTGTGCCCCCAAATGCAGAGTGGCTGAAATGATGGGGGGGGGGGCACATCAAGAAGACACCTGGCTGAGAAACACTGGCTTACTGAAAGACAAGAAATGGCCCAGTCACTACTATATCTGGTGCCTTCCATCAATTCTTTCCCACGGTCACCATTCTTTTTAATACATTTGAATTAAAATTGGTACTGTCACTGGCTTCACAGGTCATCATTTCCTTATCTTCTTGGTCACTGAAGCCCCCCCCCCACACACAAAAAACCCCACTATGATTTATAGTCTCCACAATTTCCTTTGGATATTCCAAGATCAAATTTGCTACTTAGATATACATAGTATTGCCTTAATGCTTTGGAAAAGTAGACAAGTGGATGCATTAATTTTAAGTTTACTGTGTAGGATTTGTAAGTCTTCCTATGAACAGAATTGAACCTGTAAAAGAAAAAAATCAGTTCAGCCTCAGTTTAGACAGATTGCTTATAACAGAGTAACCAAACTTCAATGGATTTTTTTTGTTATATAGCCTTTTCTAGCTTGCTGACTTGCTTGGGTAATATAGCCCCAACATATCTGGAAGACACCAGGTTGAGAAAGGATTTTGGTAGAACAGAATGATCTTGTGTAACCAATTAGGGCTGTGTTTCTCAACCTCAGCAACTTTAAGATGTGTGGACTTCAGATCCCAGAATTCCCCAGTCAGCATTTCATGCTGGCTAGGGAATTCTGGGAATTGAAGGCCAGCCATCTTAAAGTTGACAAAGCTGAGAAACACTGATTTAGGGAGCCACATTTACTGTACACCCTTGGAAGTTAGTAATATTGGAAGTTGAGAAATAAGATGTTTACAACTTAAATAAGATAATGCTATTATTTATATAACATGGCTGATAGAAAGGGATTTCCAAGCAAGCTACCCCAAAAAGGAAAAGAATGGAAAGGGAAAAGTTAGAAGAGGCACTTGAAAAATGAAATGAAATTCAAAAATATCCCAGATTTGTTACCGCAGGCACTAAGATATTTTATCTGGCTCTGAATAGGGTGATCCTTTTGTTCTGGAGAATAAGTTACGCAGCTTTGGATATTGTGGCTAAAAGCAATGTTCTGGATGTGAATATTTTATATGAGAAACTTGTTATATAAGAGGGATCAACCTGCAGATCCTATTTCTGACATACCACTGTATTGATTTTAAAAGATTCAATGTAGCATTCTGGAGATAAATATTAATGAATACAGTGTAATATCTTCTATATTTATAACAAAGTAATGTCACAGAGCAATGCATAATTTTATCATTGTGGATGTAGGTAGAAACAAAGATTGTGTGGGTTTTATCACATGTGTATGTAGCACACGCAATAAGCAACCATGCCATTTCACCTGTGGGAGGAGAGAAAGATGATATGGCCATTTGAAGTTGCTTGTGACCCCCCACCCCCGCACCTGCTTAAGCTTAAGTCTTAAGCTATGCAGAGATGAAAATTTTCACAACTGCACAGTTACAAAGAGGGGAAAAAATCAACGGTAGATTTCCTTCCTGCAGATCCCTTTCCTCTGCTTGAGGTCAAAGGGGGAAATGGGAGTCATGTTGCAAAGCAAGTTCTGAAATTTTAAAACTTAGAAGCATTAGGGTGGAACAGTCGGAACTCACAATCACGGAAAAAGAGGTCATAAAACTACCGTGAGAAAAAAATGCAATGTAGAGGGAGGAATGTCAGAAAAATGTGGAGTGCTTCATGTGCCATATGAAGGAGCCAGACATCATCATATCAAGGAAAAACTCTAATTTTGATTGGCCTTCAGTTTTTGGTGTAGCAGTACTATCAAGAGAGCAGTTCCTCCATTCATTCCCATGCAGTAGAGGTTCACGGAGAGGACAATGACAGACACCCTTCTGATGGTTTGAAACAGACCTCAAGCACGTTATTTAATGGAAGGCAATGCATAACAGAGTATTGTAGTAGAAAGTATAGCTCTTGATATCTGTTTCCATTCTTAACTGAATCACATTAGTACCATTTTAAGGAATATATCTTAATGTATATGAAACACTGCATCTCAGCAGAATGAATGAGGCAAAAGTACCTGGATCCCTATAGGCTAAAATTAGAAGAGTGGAATTCAGATAGGCCCACTAAAAAATATGAATGACCACTAGACAGCTGTAAAGAAAACAAGACTGTATCTTTGCTGTCCCCTAGAGTTTTGCCACCCAGACTTAGTGTATTGACCACTTTGAAATTGTATTAGTCTAGATCAGTGATGGCAAACCTTTTGGGCTCAGTGTGTCAAAAATTTGGAAAATGCCTAACTTGACACTGTTGGCATGTCACCCCGCCCCCTGAACAAAAGAAACAATTCTTTACATATTTATTTAAAAAAAAATAACAGTCCAGTTGTGTGGTGCTATGTATTCTATAAAGAAACATCAAATAATTACAAAAATGAAATACAAGTAAAACAAACTCAGTTTCTTTGGTAAACTCAAATAGGTAGAATAGTTGGTGGGTGTTGGTGAACGCTGGCATGTCACCCAAAACGTCATGGCATGTCACCTTTGACATGCATGTCATAGGTTTGCCTCACTGGTCTAGATGCTACTTTTCTAAAGTAAGGTTTTCTAAAGGCATGCTCTGGGTCTCATCAGTGAGGGAGTCTTATCTGGCGGTACCCAGGAAGAGAGCTTTTTCTGTCATGGCACCCGTTCTCTGGAACATCATTCCCCCGCAGATCAGACTCGCCCCAGCCCTGCTGGCTTTTTGCAAGGCCTTGACAACCTGGTTTCACCATTAAACCTGAGGCCCTAGTAGTGTGGGTGAACCCATTTCATAGCTGTATTGATTGGGGATGACTGTTAGTTTTTTGCTCAGCTGCTATTTTATGTTATTTATAATTTTATTAACTTTTTATTTTGTTTTTAATTGTTAGTTTCCCACAGTCATATACTTAAGATGAGTGGCCATATAAATTTAATAAATACATAAATAAAGTCAAGAACTTTGTTTTATGAAATATCAAATTACTAGTATGTCAAAAAAAGACAACAATATTTTGCTATCATAATAATGGTTTTTATGGCTAAAATAACCCATGTTTACCTGTTTTGGCTTGTCTTAGAATGAAATTAAAAGGTCTGTCAGCTTTGAAGACAGGAGCCCTGGATCTTTTTAATAACACCATAGCTGTGATGTAAAACAATTCGTGAATATCTGGCTTTGTTTACATTTCTTCAATTTCAGTTATCACATAGAAAGTGAAATTACTACTCCAGAATTAAAATATCTCAGTCCTGATGACAGTAAGAAGAAGTGGGATCAGTAACAGAATGTTGCAATCTAAGGCGTTCTTATTCACGTTTCTAGCTAGCCCCTACATTACCTTGCCTCTGATTCCACCCATCCACCCATCACCCATCCATCCAATTTCTCTCCAGCACATCTTACAGCACATGCTAAATCATTGTTGGACTACTTTGAGGTGTGTTTTTTTTTCTTCCAGCTTTTTCTTATCTGGTCTTCTTGCAACCCTTGATTTCCCAAACTCTGTTAGGGTTTGAGAAACTGTCTTGTGCATGAATAGTCATATTCTGGCTATGTTCTATAAGGAATAGCACTAAAAATGAATAGTATATATTCATTATATGATACAACATATCGCTGTTCCTTGTTAAGTCTGTCCACATCCATTTGAAAGCTCTTTGGTCCAAATACCAATAGTATATATAATGAGACCTCTAATCTCCCAAACAGTCTGTTTGATTGGAATTTGCTGCAGCCCCTTCTTACTGTATATGACTTGAAATTATTAAGTGCAATCTCTAGCATGGTTTTCCCCATCTTGTTGTCCTTCAGAGTACAACTTCCTGAATTCCCAGCCAGTCTGACCATGCTGACTGGGAATTCTATTCTTGTTGTTCTTGGAATTGTTATAATTATGTGTATACTGTTTCTCACTGTAGAAATTCTGAAGTGTTAATAAAAAGGTAGATGCCTGGGGAAAGTCAAGATGAAAAATGTGTATTTTAAAAGAGGTCCAAAACTTGTCAGTGATGAAGTTTGATGTAACATGGATGGGAAGTCCTTCTCTAGGAATGAAAACTTGCATCCCCTTTGCCACCAAGCAGCAAAGTGCAAGTCATGACACAACATGGAAAACAGGATCTGCTCCAAATATCATAGGTACATGTCTGATATAACATTTGATGGGGCACTAGGTTGGGTTAGGTTGTCTTTAAAGTTCCTGTTGGCAAATGGATTGCCCCAAAGAGCCACATTTGTTGGATTATAGGAGAATTATTTATGTCAAAGTACTATTTAAATAATAAACCATTTGCTTGTTTTCCAGATTCATGCATTGATTCTCTCTAGTTTACCTGTAATGCCTGAGGCTCTTGTACCATCTTCTGTCACTTCAATCTTCGCTTTGTGGATGACTTCTGAGATATAAAGACCTCCGTGCTCTAGCAAACAAAAGCATTTCTCTTTTACCAATGCAAAGCCAAACCAACTTTACTTCCTTTTTCAAAGAAGAAACTGCTCGGGAGAGATTTCCTGTCACATAGATGCTGGAAGATAACTATCAGAGTGCTTGGTAAAAATGTACTGAGACAGCTGGGTATTGCTGTTTGACAAAATGAAATAAAGGCCTGTGGAAAAGAGAGTTTCTTCCAGAAATTATAAAACTGAGTTGATGTCAGATATAAATTTAGGACATATCCCCAATGAAATGGAGCCCATCTGTTAATGAATCCATGAGTTACAATGAGGACTGAGTCAACATTTTCACCTCTATCTCTTCCATCATCAGATATGACTAAGAAGTCCTGTATCCTTTTACAAAACTACCCTTACAAAAAAGATCCAAGAAATGGTACATGATGGAATATGGAGTCCTCAGTTCAACATAGTGCATATAGCTCCAAAGATCTTCCAAAAGTTTCCACTGAACTGCAACTTGTAATATCACAGAAGAGAGAAAACTATACATGTAGGGGATTATTGTATTAGCTTACTTTATTTTTAAGTTTAGGCACTTTTTCGTTTCTTTATTCTGATCCGGTCTACGGTTTAGACTGTGGCTCCTGAGCCCTCAAAGGTTGCATATGGCTCTTGGCCTGAAAAAGTTATACAGGCATATTAAAGTAACAAGCTTACCTGAAATGCCATTGAAATTAGCTTCAGTTTGGTCAAACATGTCTGTAATTCCTAATGCAAGTAAAATCATCTTTAAGTCCAAGTGATTTTGAATTTTGAACCTGAAAAGATGGTAGATGGACACTGTAAACCTGCTATGTTAGTTTTTCACATTAACTCTATAGGGGAAGGTGATATATGGCTCTCTAGAGCTTAGTGAACTTCACCTGCCAAGAGCCTACTTAGCATGGCTAAGAATGAGATATGATGGGAATTGCAATTCAGGAACATCTCAAGAGCATATGATCCATCCCTACATATTATATATTTACAAGAATAAGTCATAGGTGTGTTCTCTTTCTAGGGCTTAAAGCATGCATTTGTTTTTATAACCATTTCTGTATAGTTTCTCCAAGGTCATCTCCGTGGCTTTCTACACTTGAGAGTTTAGGTAACACAGGTTCAGTTGCTATGGCTGTATCCACTCCTCTCTCCAACCATATTTCTAATCTCATATTCATAGTCATGGCATTTTGTCTACAATCATGTTTGTAATTTTTACGCGGACACAGCAAACATGAGCAGAGATCCAAATACTGAAGCAACTGAATGCACATTGATTCTTTACCTAGGGAGAAAGATATCCATCCCTGTTCTTCTTAAGGTGCTGGACCATAGAGAGAAGGTTTGAGCTGAGAAGTAAGTCTCAATCCTGGCTAGAGAGGTTCTCCTGTCGGTTGGAAGCACCACAAACATGCTCACCATCTCCTCCAGATAAGGTAATTCAACCACACTGATCTGATCCAGAGAGCCCATTAGGAATTCACCTGCAAGTTAGAAAACCAATGGTATACCATTAACAAACATACCAGAATTTTCAGAAATTGCAGTAAGATCTTTTCAGAGGTGATGCTTCAGCTGCGGAACATTGTTCACAAAGAGCTTAATGAGCTATTATTTAGTTCTGAGCATTCTGAAAAGCCTTTTTTTTTCTGACAGATCGTTGATTATTAATTACATCATAGCCAGGTTGAAAGCCTCTCCCACCCTTTCTTGTCATTGACCATTATTTGCATATTTATTGGATTTTTAAATAATACTTTATATATTTGATCCCTCTGAAAAATCATTTCTCTTTTTGTGTTTGTGGCATATGCAAAATATAAATGCACTGGGTGATATTCTTAAGTGTTAACTACATTTAATCAGATGTCACGTTTTGTAGCAGTAAAAAAGGTGATGAAACCAGGGCATTTGGGGAGGGGATGAGATCTAGCCTGAATCTAGTATTGTTTTTGAGATTATATGGTTGAGTTATATATTCCTTTAATTTTTTTTCAGAGCCTGCAGAATGGAGTGGTATAGAAATTTCAGTAAATAAAAATAAATAATACTGGTAGCATTTTTCTGATATTGAAAGAGGGGTTTCTGCATGATCTAGGAATCCTCATTACAGTCCTATATATTTAGTAGTAGCATTTCCCCTATTGCGGATATGAAAACTGAACTGAAAGAGAGTGATGTATCAAAGGCTGCCAACTGAATTCACAGTAGAAGTAAGGTTAGAGTCAAGAACTTTCTGCTTTACAGCACAATCTCTTAGACACTATATTACATTAATTTAGGTCTTGTAGTACAAATCATAAATGTTGCAGATAAACATCTCTGAATTTAATAAGTAAAATACATCAGGCCACCCTTTAAATGCTAATCTGGGCTAAGCAGGATTTTAGATAGGTTTCCACCTCTACAGAAGGTTTAGGGTTAGGATGACAATCAGAACACACATCAGAACACACTTATAATTCCAACATATAACTCTGTGTTCCACGTTGTTCGAAGCCTGCAGAAAGCATTGTCTTGGAAGCTATATTTGGTGCTCCTTGTATCAGTGCTTAGACAATCTGTAAAAATATATCAGTTTCACCAGTGTTCTAATAGTTAACTGGTTTTATCATCCATTTAATATTTTTGTGTTGTATTTTAAAATGTAATTAGCCACCCTGAGTGCTTATTTGAGCAGAATGGTGAGAATCAATTAGCGTTTAACTGAAAAGTTGTTAAATGGCAATTGGCAAGAGAAGACTGGAGGCTACACAAAAAACTTTGATGGGCAGGGCTGTGGGTTGTGTACTAATGAAAAGGAAAAACACTCTGCTACTCTCCACTTTTTCTTACTTAACAGTTTAGGACTGTTTGGCTGGCTGAGCTTGACATGCTCTAGTTGCTTTATTGGTGAAGAGTAGGCTCCCTTCACAAGTGCAGAGAACTCTAGCGTAGAAGTAATTTCTTTCTTTCACTACTGCCTATTCCCTGAGATTCCTTGTTTATTTGTCTTTAAGTTTGTCTGATTTATAACATGCCTTTCTTTCAGGAGTCTGAGGCAGTGAACACAATGCTCCCTCTCCTGTTATTCCCCACAACACCCACCCTATAACATCAGTTGGGCTGAGAGACAGTGAGTGGCCCAAAGTCACCAGAGAACCTGGGTCTTCCTGGTGCCTTAATATCATGCTGACTCTCTTTCTTCCAGCTTCTCTCTGTCACGTGCATGGATGGATGGAAATTTCTCTGTATAGAAGAAGGGCATTTTTCATAGTCGGGGAGTTCTGCCATTCCTGATCTCCTTACCATAATTGACTTCAGCTCTGAGATACATGGCAGGCACTTTTAAGCTGATGCCTTCTGCAGTGGTAAAGGACAACGCTTGGGCGTGTGTAAAAGTGAATTTCCTTTGCCAAGTACTTCTGAAGTCCATAGTGCTTACCACAGCTATCTGGTTAAGGGGAGACTCAGTCATGTCCAAGGATAGGCAGCTTGTTTCTATATTGTTAAGGACAGAGAACAAAAGAGTGAAATCTACTAACAGTTGAATGTGACACATTTATCATCCTCCATTTGAAATGTTACTCAGCAATGTTATGTGCTTTTAGCCCTTAACAGAGAAGAATTTGGTGGCAAATTAATGGCATCTTAATTGCGATCTGGCCAAAAAAAAAAAAAAAAGTATTACTCAGATCCACTAGACCACTGGTTACTGTAAGTACCAAATGCCTTTGGAAAATCTAGCAGAACCAGGCAAAGCCACGTACAAGTCAGATATCAGAAAAAGAGTCTAATCTCCATCTTGCTATTTCGGGAGAGCTGTCAAGCCCCTCATTCTTCTATAATCAATTCTTCAAACAGAAGGTTAGACAAACTTAGGTTTCTAGGATGTTCCTTCTCATAAGTTTCTCCATGTGTTTTTAACTGAAGATAGCTGGAGTGTTGAGCATATACTCCATCACTGATTTAGCATTTTGGAAGGTCCATGACATAAGTGACACTGGCCATGAGAAAATGTACAAGAAGTAAGATACAATTTTCTTGTTCTCCAAACAAAAATAAAGCACAGCCTATCTGCATCTCAGATAGGATGGAAACAGCTTGTCTTCAACAGCTGGAATTTATATTTCCAAAAATGATGAATTTACAAAGGATTACTTGCTGCTGTTAGCATATACGGCAAGGCTCTTACTGGAATTTGCATATCTGAAAGCTCCCTGTAACACCATCCTGAGGCATAATTTGGTACAAATATGGCTCCAAGAACTACATTATTATTCCCCCTCGTTTTACTAACCAACTTGCCCAAAAAGTTATCAAAACTTAACGTCTTACAATAATTTTGCATGATTTCAGTTGCTCTAATAAAAATATTGCTTTGATGTCAATGAAATTTGCCCTCCCTCAAATACCTGAGTTAGGTATTTGACAATATTTATAATGCCACTTTTCCCAATCTGGTGCCTTCCACAGATGTTGCATTTGGAGTCCCAGAACCAAAGCCTGATTCTGGCGAGGAATTTTTGCATTCAGCACCTAGCTGAAGTGGGCTGTTCCTCATTTGCCTGCTAAAATGTTTTTGCCCACAAGTGAGTTTCTGCCTGTGCTAATTTATCTGCTATTGGGCAAAAATGTTTTGGACAGGAGATTTTATCACTAGGGATGGGCAGGAAAGGGACAAGAGCCCTGACATGCACAAGGTCAAAGAAAGCTACTTTAAGGCATTTAAGGGAATTATATACTTATATGTCCATAGGAAACATGCATAACTATTCTCTGTGGGTGGCACCTTTTCAGACAGGTAAAGGGAACCTTAGTTTCAGCCCCAGGATTTTTTTGGCAGCACCCTAACCATTCCCTATCCAATGTACTGAATTGGGGGTCTGGCTGCTAAAAACTACCCATGGGTTCATGGGGCCCTCACTTTGGTTAAAGCAGCAGTGTCATCAGGCGAAGAACAGGAGCGAGACAAGGGAATCAGGGATTGAGAAACAGAGCCATGTTTGAACTCCTGGAGAACCTCTTCTAGTTTATGGATTGATTCAAGCATGATGTTAAGTCATATTGCGACTGATTTGATTTTGGGCTAACATGCTTTATTAATCCATTCATGATTTAGCATGATATATGAACCAAGCCACTACAGTTCAATTAAAAAAAAAAACATAGTTAAAGGAATCCTGGCCTAGCATTTTGTATGACTGCAGCCAAGAAAGAAAATAAGGAACTAGGCAGGCCAAAGGTTGGCTCAGTATCAGACAGGTTTCCTCTGTTCCTGCATTGACTGCAAGAATTCCCTTTTCCTGCAATAGCTCTCCACAGTGCCGCCTCTGAATACGAGTGCCAGAGCAAGGTCGCGCTATGGTGTGCTTGGGGGAGGTCTCAAAAGAGCTGGTGCAAAACATGTGCATTGCAAAGGGGCAAAACAGAACAAGAGATTAGATTTGCCTATGCTTACCTCCAGTGCTCTGGGCAATCCATTCCTTAATCTGTGCTTCGGTCCTGTTAGGATCACTGAAATTAGTTTGCTGCACTGTATTATTTGCCCACCATTCAGCCTGCTGAATGAATTGAGGTGATAGCTGCATCCCAGCTTGAACAAAGAGGGTGCATGCCAAGTGCACCACAACACTTTGGTCTGAACTGATTCCTTCTTTGTAGGCTGCATGCAAGAAATCCTGGATGTTCTCATCTAAGAACAAAAAATGTCCTTGTGTTATCTTAGACAAGGGGGAAAAAATCATAACGATACAAAGTAATACCACTAAATGTGAATTGCCCTCTCTGCAATCTTTAGAAGGTCATACTGTAGGAGGTAATGAATAGTCGCTTATACAGTCTTCCTTTTCTCCCTGTAGCCTTCTGACTTTCCTGCTTTTTCTCCCCAAAGCACAGTAGCAGTCCTACAAATGAAGGAGTGGAACTGGAACAAAGAGCAGAGGCTAGAAAAGTGCACAACGCTTCTTGCCAAGAACTGTTTTGCTAGAATTTAGATGACTCTCTTAGACAGCCAGTAAATACTATTATTGATCTTGCTCACCCTGCCCCCAGTTCATACGCAACGGCTACATCAGATGTCTGTTCCTGCAACAATCTTCCTCTGGTTCTTCTCCCTAATGTGTGCTCCCAAAATTTACCCCGGAACAAATTGGGGTGGGGGGCCTAAGTGGAGGTGAAGAAGAGAAGGTTGAATCTGTTCCATTGGCATACGTCATCTCATTTGCAGTTGGACACAACTTGGTGCAATCAGTTGCCAACCACTCCATCTCTGAATATTTGTTTCAATCTTTGAAGTTTCCATGACTAAGAAGTTGTAAAGAAAAGGGACGTGCGGATTTGCTTGTTGTTTGTTTTGAGAAGGAAATATTTAAGGAGGAAATATTTGTTTTTGCCATGGGAAAACTAGCATTTACTGTAAGTCAAATTTAATTGACTTTAAACCCAAATTCACATAGAAGTTATGAGCTTTGGGAAACACTGTCAAAGATGCTGATTAACAACATCCTTATCACTTCTTTCCTCCTTAGTAGTACACTGGGTCAAACTGTTAGAATAACAGTCAAGAGCTTGGTGTTCTTGTGCATCAAAGCAGATGTTTCTGCAGGTGTTCTTTGCATTTCAAAGGCAGCTGTATCCCTTTGAATATCTTTAGGCTGTTACCCTGACTTTTTATCTTGTTTCCCTTCCTCATCAGTTGTAAAACAATGGTGTTTACATTTATGTCAGTGTACGCGCATGTCCAATCTCTTTTTGTTTGTGATCCTGTGTAAGAACTCCTGGCTGGTGCTCTTCTGGGTGCAAGAGATCAGTGACTCACCGCAGTCTGCTAACTTTGAAAATAAATGATTGTTTGATCCTCTCCAGTTGTTAGAGGTTCTTGGGTGAGTTTCCCATCAAAGGTTTAAATGGCACGTGAATTCTATAGGGAAAACTGTTTTTCATGTTTTAACGAAGAATGAAAAAAAGTCTGTATTGCAACAAAAGCAAAATTTTAAAAAATTAATAGTTACATACTGGCTGATTTTGAATGGAAGGAAGATGTCATTCACATATAAAAAACAAAGTCATGCATGTCAGATAAAAACTATACATTCGTAGGTTCAAAGAGCACTCAGATCAAGAGCTTTGCTCAGTGGAGAACAATGAAGATTCTAAGGTGAACTTTATGATGGCATAGAGTCTTCATTAAATACTAATTTCTCAGATGATTCCTTACCATGAGTGCTGTATCCCAAAGCCTGTTTCAGTTGGCCAAAGGTATTCCCTCGAGCTCCCAACTGCAGAAGTCCCAAAGAAAAAGAAATGCTTGCTGGTGAAATGACAAGATTCGTTCTGTTATTACGTTCTGCTACCTTTTGGTAAAGAGTGAGGGCAAACTCTGCTTCCAGGTTTTTCAGGTCATTATCGTTCTCACAGCTTCCGATATCCAGAGCACAAAATAACAGAAGAAAGGAAATGATGGAAAGAGACAGCATGAAGGCAGAAGACTGGATAGCCCTTCCTGCAACAAGCAATAGGAATAGTCCATTTCAGATACAATGACAACTGGACTAAATTCTGATGTAATGTTTAGAACAGCAAAATGTCTCATGTCCCTGTTGGTCAACTATGAGAGATGTTTTGCAGAACATGTGGACACTCTCACCATATACACTGGCAAGATAATAATTGGATATATTTGGTGATTTTTGTGTCCTTGCATGGGCTGCCTTTTTTCTTTTCCCTCTTCAGCCCCTTTTCTTTATTATCATTTTTTTAAACTTGCAAGCCCAAGGCCAGGGACTGTCTCATTTACACTAATCTATAAATCTGTCTGGAAGACTTTCAGGCAAAAGAGTGGAATATAAATGATATAAATTAATAATCATAATTTATAAAAGAAATGAAAAAAGTAGTATCTATGACTGGACCTTGGTAAGCATGTGATAAAATAGACCAGCCTCTACAATGTATAAAAGTCTGTAACAGGGAAAACTGCAGATTAATTTTTTTTTAGGTATGTTGCAGTATGGTTCAAATATTAATGTGTATTGTTGTTATTAAATCTTCTTAGGTCCAAAGCAAAGCATGCTATCAAAGCATATTATCAAAAAATAATACATTTAGGCTTGTTTCAGCATTTTCCACCAGTGCCTACCAGTCTAGATGCCTTTTCCTCCAGAAAGACACAAAACTCCTGCGGTTTACTTACTGTCAGCTATGGTTGTGGGCTCTGCTGGGTCCTTCGGTTGTGCTTAAGTTAGACCTGTGTCCCTTGTAGGTCTAACCTCTTCCACAATATATAACCAGGTGGGGTCTTAGTCACAAGACCCCTGCTGCAGAGGGCACCCAATGACTGTGGGCTCTGCTGGCGATGTCTGTACCACCCTGTCCAAATTCCTGTAGGCTCTGTCTGGAGCCAGGCTCCCCAGCAAATCCCAGAGAGGAACTGAGACAGAAAGAGCCAACAAGCACCATTCAAGCCCCAGGAGACGTGTGACCTGCTTCAGCTCAGAAAGGTATCACCTGCCAGCATCACTTCCATCGCTCCCTCCCCCTAATTTTACACATTCCACAGATTTGCTAATGGAAGCAGTAAGTGTGGCAGGTGTGTACCAGGCACCGTGTTGATCTGAACCCAGACAGGGTGGGGGATTAAGGAGGAGAAGAAGGCCTGGCCATGCTGGACAAAATTAATTCCAGGACTCCTCACTCCAATCTAAATCTTTTGTCTTACCAATTAGGGAACACTGAAAAGAGACCAACTGGATGGGGTGTCTCTCCTGCTGTTCTTTAACGATGACTCTCTTATTTAAGAAGAAACAAGTCACTTGAAAAATGCATACGAAACAGTAGCTAAGCTGTGTAAAAAATGAAACAATTGTGGATAGCTGACCTCAAGATGCTGCAGGTAAGATGTACTTCAACAGCGACAGATTTGGAGAGCAGCAGTGCAAAGAAGAACTGGCAGAATGAAGGGACCTAACTCTTTCTTTTCTGTTACTGACCTTGAAGAAAAGTCCCATGGCATCGTCTGAAGTCAAATGATGTGGCAATATTGTCGCAACTACACAGTTCCAAATCTGGTCACTGTTTGGAGAAAGAACAGTGTTGGTAACATTCAAGTTCAGCAGAAGAAAATTCAGAGGGCATCTGAATAGAATATTGTAAATAAATAAGCCATACTCAGGAGCTTGTTGATTGGTGCCTGGGAGTTAGCATTTGTTTATAACATCTGGCTTAAAACGGTGATAGTAAATTACTGTAATTCTGAAACAGATAAACTTTATAGGGTGGCCTTAGACCTTTAAAAGTGGGAAGGTGGATAATTAAAATTAGAAACACTTGAAATAGTAGATAATAGCACACAAATGCCATTGCTGTTCAGATGGAAATCAGATGCACAAATCTGTGCATTAGCTGTAAGGAGGAAAAAAGATGCAGTTCAGAAAGTTTAATGAACTGAATCAGTCTTTCCCAACCTGGTGTCCTCTATTCTCCTGATTCCCAGGCCCTTAGCCTCTCTTGGAGATCAGTAGCAAAGGAAACTGAGCACAAATTTGAGCCTGAAAGACCAATAAAACTGGTCTTCTTGTGAATAAGGAATGGTCTAGCTCTCTTACATTTTTCTAACCATCATGTGACCTTGTGAAGGTTTTGTTCTTCATTGTTATTGGTTGATGGGGGGGTTGCTTTTTATTTGGGAATTTGTAAAAAAAAATATGCAAATGATACATCAACGAATTAAAAAAAAACATAAAACAAAATGAATAAATAAAAATTCAGATATTCATATTTTATATTTCTGTCCAAAATACAGCCAGTTTGGTCTAGTGCAGTGTTTCTCAACCTTGGCCATTTTAAGATGTGTGGACTTCAACTCCCAGAATTCCCCAGCCAGCATGGCTGGCTGGGGAATTCTGGGAGTTGAAGTCCACATAACTTAAAATGGCCACGGTTGAGAAACACTGGTCTAGTGGTTAAGGCTCCAGGATAGAAAGCAGGAGACTGTGAGTTCTAGGCCTGGCTTAGGCCTGAAGGCCAGCTGGGTGACTTTGGGCCAGTCCCTCTCTCTCAGCCCAACTCACCTCAAGGGTTGTTGTTGTTTTGGGGAAAATGGGAGGAGGAAGGAGTATTAGGTATGTTTGCCGCCTTGAGTTATTTATAAAAATAAGAAAAGTGGGATAAAAAAAAATCTAAAAAAAATTATATTTGTGTGGACTGATATAAATTAAAAGGGGGAAAATGGCCAAATTTTAGTAAAAGAGTCCTTAACGAAATACGTTTTCAGGACACTTTGCTGTAGTATTAATTTTTCTTCTGCTGTTATTCTCCACACTTTCCCACTGACCCAAAGAAAAATTACTGCAGTTTTCCAGTGTTTTGCTATAGTAAATCTGACAACTTCAATATAATGATTGAATTAAATTCTTATATTACATAATTTTAGAATTCTAGAGAACTATGATAAGAAAGCTACTCTAAAGTAACAAATGTTGCTTTGTGGATCTGGAACAAATATTAAATCTGGTCTTGTATCAGGTATTTTTTAATAATTCTTTCTCTTGCTGTCTCTGTGAATGCATGCTGGTATTAAACGGGGAAATTTAGATGAACAAAATGATTTTTCTTTAATCAGTCAGTGTTAACTGATTAACACAAACATATTACAATCCTATATACACCCAGGTAACTCAGTGGGATATACATCCACATTAACTAAATATTGTCCCTCAGTATTTACACATCACTGTTAATCACTTCCATTTCCTTTTTTTGACTTCTGGGGAAGAAATGGCAAACTGAAGATGGCTCTGCTAAAAGCAACTGCAGTGGAATGAAGAGCCAGTGAGTAGACTGGCTCTTTGTATTTCCTCTCCAGACAAGGAGAGGACTTGAGATTGCCCACAAGTGCTCCAGACAGTTGCTCCTTGTGAGGATACCGCAAGACAGCAGTCTCTGGCAGGTTTAGAGCTCTGGGAGACAAGGGAATAGCCATCTTGCT